CTAAGTATAGAATATTAGTAGTTAATATTAAGTATAAAGGCAAATATTTTGTAAGACTCAATTATTATTGTTTCGTCTGTCTTTCCGTCAACATAGCCAAAAATATAAATAATATGGCTATCGATTGTGAAAGATTAATAGCCGAAATACAAAATAGACCTGTATATAAATTTGATTCATGTTATTCATGTTATTCATAATTTACTAGTACAATTTTAATTTTGCATATTTTATGGGTTTATGCTTTAAATTACATTTTGGAATTATAGTTGAAATAAAATATATCAAATAAAGTTGATAGTGATTTACCTAATAAATATAAGGGTGAAAAAAATTGAAAATTTATATGAGTGTTTTACGCCTCATGAATCACCCTGTATATATATATAAATACCATGGTACTATTTTGACGTAATCATAGGAATTTAAACTTTGACCATTATTCATTRAAATATGTTCTACTTCACATACTATTGCAGGGTCTTACTCTTTCAACAGTCAACTGCAGTTATGGGTGTCAGTTAACTCTAACATATAATACATTTGAAATTAAATAGGTTTTAAATGTTTAAGTACGTATCATAGACTCGTCGTGCGATCGTTAGTGTAACTTTTTAAACCGTTTTAACGCCGTCATTTAAACGTAGCAATAGTAAAGCAAAAAAAGCTTGAAAATTTTGTTAGGTTAGTTTTGAAAAATTATTAAATGTAAGAACTTGAAACTTTTTTCCTCTAAATCTGCTTAAYATGATATTTTACCAAATAAATAGTTGTTTGTATAGATTCACACCGAAGTGCCTTCGCTGTTTGGTTCTTTCCTCAAGATATTAAAGCTGCTACTTGTTTTATAATTAAAATATCCTTTATGCTTATCGTACTTTTTTCTATGTACAGTTTGTATAAAAAACTAGAATTAAAATAAAAAAATAATAAATAATAAATAGTGTATTATTAGTGTTAATAGGTATTATTTTTGTATAAATAATTAACTTGGTTTTTGTACGTAACTACATACAATTATATTTACTTGGTGATTTTCATTTTCAAATATATTAATGAAAATATCATTATATTACATACAAAATGTACCGTACTTTGTATTCTTAGGACTATACAGTTGTAGTTATTACTGCGATTCAAAAAAAAGGTGCCAACCGTAGCGAAGTAAAATGCACATAGTAATATTGTTATTAGGTGATATAAATAATAATATTAYGATCATACTTGGTTAACTCAAATATGAAGCACATTGTGTACTCTGTAGGTAACTATATGTTATCATCGCTCCCTATTAAGTAAGTCTATAGGATACCTAATATGATATTATCTATATGGCTTATGGGATAGTGCGATTATAATAGGTAGGTAGTTGTTAGTTTGGTATCTACTTGAACTTGCATCAGCAACCTTTAATTTATAGTTGTTTATAATTACTATACATGCTTGAGCCATAAAATATTTTTTAAATAGTAAACTTAAAGGAGAGAAGAGGTAAACATATAGAATACCTTATACCTAGTGTATTAGTGTATGCATTTTTTTTTTTAATTACAATTTTACTAAAATTTATTTACCAAACGAATGTAGATTCATAAGATTCATTATTTTTAATTAATACAAATTCAATGTCTACAATATTAAATCAATCCTCTTGTTAGACACATCAAAATTATATTGTATAGCTTATATTTGTATCTACATAATACTTATGTTCTATATTGAGAAATCTCAAACCATATTATCAAAAACATTTGTTGATCTAATGTATGAAAAAATTAGAAAGGATTTTTTTTAATGTTATTGCAACATAATATATTATGTTATAACTATATATACATATATAAATATATAATTTATATAAAAAAAATACCCATATTGAAATTATTTAAAAAAAGCATAATATCAATAAAATAATTGATTGTATAAATTTATAATTAATTATTTTAATGTTATTAGTTTATTTTATTGCTATATAATAACAGTAAATGATTTTTTGATTGAATMCAAATTAAATTTTTTTTTATAAATAAAATGGAATCTCTATTAAACAAACTTAAATGTTGTAAAATAAAAAAATTTGTTAAAAAGAAATAGGTAATATTTTTTTTTTAATTATAAAAGTTAGTATAAAATGTTAGTAAATATTCAAAATGCATGTAAATAATAATATACTTAATATGATATTAGTAAATATAATGTTGATTATATCAAGTACTTATACACATTTTTTTTTCTTTGTTGCTGAGGAACTTTCAGGAATAGTGATATCTTGTATTTCTATTTTTGAACAACTTTTATTGCTTCAAACTGCTTTCAATTAATGGCTAGTCCATAATTTTTTATGACATCTTATAATATTGATTAAGTTTTGATGGAAAAACTATAACTGAATATAAAACTAAAGAACATTCTAGGCTCAAGAGAGAATCAAAACTAGGCTTTGAAATTTACAAGAGTAAAAAAAAAATTGGGTACTTAAAATATAATTGCATGTTTACCAACAGTTGTCATGTATGCGTGTTGCTCTTTAGCTACAGATTGGTTTACCGAAATACGTACCAGAAAGCAAACTTGCGTAGTATTCTGATACTTTTTTATAGTATTCAATAGAGTAATTTGAATACTTTATTTAATGTCCAATCACATTTTAAAAATAATTTCATTAAATGTATGACCAACCCCCAAAATTTATTATTAATTAACATGAATAATAAAACAATTTGACTATGTGTTAGGTATATAAATAAAGGTGAATTTTATTTTTCAACAAATGTGTACATAATAATTACAACATTGGATATAATAAATTGTAACATATACATTTTATTAGAATATAATATATAAAATAATTGAATAGTTAGGATATTGTTCATTGTTGATGTTAGATTTTTATCCTTAGCGCCATGAACTAAATGAAGTTCCCCTAAA